CCCCCATTCCTGATGGGCCCCTTCCCGGGACCCCTGCTCCATCCATGCACCCCTTTTCCCTGTCCCATGACTGCCCCCCGCCACCCCATCCAACCCCTCCTTCCTTCCTGACTGCCCCTCCGGGACCCCTACCCCCATTCAACCCGCCTGTTCCCCGCCCTCTGACCGCCCCGACCCCTATCCACACCCCCGGCTCCTGACCACCCCTCTGAACTCTCCTGCCCTCTATCCAACCCTCCCTGCCCCCTTACCAAGCTGCCTGGAGCACCAGTGGCTGGCGGCGCTACAGCCACTCTGGATCAGGCCGGGCCCTGCAGCTGCGCTGCCCCGGGAGCTCACAGCCCTGCCACCCAGAGCATTGCGCTGAGGCTGCGAGGGAGGGGGAACAGCAGGGGAGGGGCTGGGGGCTAGCCTCCTGGGGCAGGAGCTCAGGGACCAGGCAGGAGGGTCCTGCGGGCCAGATGTGGCTCGCGGGCCGTAGTTTGCCCACCTCTGTTCCAAATGCTGGTGTCTTTGCAGACTGTTGGCCAGATTCTCCACTACATTGCCCAGGTGAAAATAATTGCACAGGGGGATGAAGTGGGTGCAAAATGCTGCCAAAGCAGAATTCTCCACTTTTACAATTGTGGTAGCATTTCATACTCCCTATGCCCTGGTGTAAATGACTTCACCTGGTGCAAGGCAGTGGAGTCTTAGAACCTTTATTTCACCTGCATGGCAGTAATTTGGCAGTTGCAAATCAAACCCAGGGTTGCTCTGGAGAATTGATAATCACGTTATTGGAGGCTGGGAAGGATTTCAGAAATAGTACTGGGCATATCACATGCCCCTGTCACTTGTGTGACATCACACTGGCAGCCTCATCTCAGCTTGACCTCAGGTTGAGCTTTCCATGCACAGACTACAGTAAGCAGTGAAGTGCAGCGACCACTGACATGACCCATTTTGTCGAATGAGGACATGGTGTCAAATTAAATTGTGGCTTTGTTGTAAAAGAAATCTTAAATAAATAAATAAAGTGAATGTCTTGCTGGTGAAAGTTGCTGGCCTGTCAGATTTTTAGGCTGGTGAGTGGGCCACCAGACAATAAAAGCCTGACCCAGCAAGTGAGAGGAGGGGCCACAGATCCTAGAAAATCAACTAATTGCTGGGGAAAAAAAATGAAAAAAAACAGGGGGGGGGGGCAAGCCACGGGGTCTAAATAAGAGATCCAAAGGGGGGCCGTGAGCAGGGAGCCCTGAAGAGCGTCTCTCACTCTGAGAAGGATCCCAAGGAGTCAGTGAGCATCACCCAGAGGAACTCTGCCTGGATGTGTGCTCAGTCAAGGGACAGGAAATAGAGAATTCCACCATCCA